GAAAACAGAGTGAGCGCGAGATTATAGGCATGGCCTGTAGAAGAAGAAGAAGATGGGCAGTTTTTTGCCGCAAGCTGAATTTGCATGTGGCGCATACATCCAACAGCCGCACCGTGCAAGACTGGGTGGATTCACTTGATCCGCTTCGAGAAGTCGGAGAAATTGCAACGTCTCTTCTCATTTTGTACCTTAGCAGCACCAGACGAGCTTTAACGGCACTTCAACGTGGGGTATTCATGTTTGCGTTGCTTGCGCACTCTTTGAATCTGATGCTACGTTATAACTTTATTTGTCGCAAAGACACAACTCATGAGTTAGAGCGACTGGCGGCACTGTAGCTTGATTCAGATCCTTAGTCTGCCAAAGTTGCCGCCAGAAGCTGGGGGTTTGCTGCACGTACGGCATGATACTCAAATGTTGGCTTCCTGCCAGGTACATTATTGTGTCAGTGTTTGCTGTGCTGAATGCCACGCACTCAGTCAGTTGCTAGCAGCCGGCGGCAAGTGTGGTGGGTTGTTGCTTTTCCAGTTAGAAAGCTTACGGGTGCATTCAAGTGGGATTTGGGCTGTCCTTTGCTAGTACTAGAATCCACTATGATGAATCTCAATGAACCTGTGACGTCTCGGGCATGTTTGTATTGCAAGTCGTCACAGGGGGTATGTTTTGACACGTGCAAGTCACATGCAAGTAAATTTCAGCTTCATTTGTTTCCAGGGCGTTGTTTAGACACGTGCTTGTCGCACCTACTATCACCGATTGTTTCCTGACCTGCCAAGATCAGATTATGTTTCTGGATATGGGTCCAGCACTCCAAAATGATGGATCCCCAGGCCCCCCTTTTTGTTGCGTTTGCATTTTCGACAATTTTAAACGCTAGCAGAGTTTTTTTAGAAAGCTGTCGGCGTCTGCCACAACAAAGCAAGCAGCCGTCACCCTGGTGTATGTGTCCGGCAATTCTTGTGAAAAGTCGCGAGGTGGTAACTGGTGTGTTCTGCAACACAGCTATTGAGTCGGCGCAGAGTGACAAGGACATTGCCATCATGAAACAAATGCGTTTCTCGCTTGCACATAGAGCCTGGACATTGTCCCAAGGCCAAGGCCCATTCTGATGCCTGATGTGCCCCAGATGCTACTTTATGCGATCGCGCAAGTAGTCATTGGCACAATCCTATCCTGCATAGGGAATGAAGTAAGCAGCCTCTATGCCTACAAATATTGGGCTACTGAGGCAAGCACGACCTTCAAGTGCAGGCGCTGCGGCATATCTTCAAGGAGATTGACCACGACAAGTATCCCATCAGCGTGAGTTGCGGCAATCGCGTGATGCTGTTGAGTTTCGGGTTTTGGGTTTCAGTCCAAGACAGGAGGCAATACACAAAAATGTAGTTTCGAGCCTTTGAAGTGTGATCGAAGCAATTCCCACCCAAGAATGCTGCCTCGCGCTTGATATGGCAGCGCTTCGTTGTATTCACTTCTAGAGCAAGGACCGCAGCATGGTCTGAACGTTGTCACAGGTCCCGGAGCATATGTATTATTGACTATTACATCATCATACTGGTGCGCAAAACAATAATCGGGAGAATTCCTGATGTTCCATGCGCTTCTAGCTTGAGCGGGGAGGAGCTGAAATATCCGCAAAACTAAGAAACATCAGGTCCAACCTTGTGACCTTGGCGGAGCTACAAGAGGCGCTCAGCGCCAAGAAGCTGTCAAGTTTCCTGGAGTCCATGGGCATCTCCACGCAGGACAGTTACAACAGTGCAGACCGGGAAGGAAGCGGGCCTGTTGCAGCTTATGCCAAACAAGGCGTTGAAACGAGAGAGTGTCCAGTGTAGATCATCGCAGAGCCCTTCTCTGCACGGGAGCGACTAGGAACATGAAGGACCAGCCCAGACGAGGGCGTCCAAGCTTAAAATTACAGCACCACGCACGACATGTTTCTTCCATTATGGATTCGTCATGGGCATTTCGCGTACCCCATGTGTAGTCATGTCAATTGATTTGGGGTTGAATGTCAGTTCGAGGTAGACATTTTGCCTAGACCTCAACACTTGCAAAATTGCGAAAAATTGGGCCATCTCTTGTCTCATGCCAAGAAATTCCAAGCGAGTTGGTTTAGCTTTTGCATGATTTTTAATGCCCGATTTGAGCCATGCTGCAGTCTGAAAGCCCTGAAGGATGTCTCGACGCTGCTTGGCTGTGGATTGGGACGCGTGACGCAACCCGCACCACTGCTTTACATGCCAAGATTCCAGCAGTTGAGCTCTTGGGTTTTGGGTGGCTTTGCGGTGGTTCTGAGAACATCTGGAAGAGATCAGGCGCTCGGGATCTCTCTCTCTCTCTCTCTCTCTCTTGGCCCACAGCAACATATAGATAGGCAGTGTCCCGCAACGCACACGCGTTGCAAGGGCCTAGACGCACGGACATCAAAAGCCTTGTTCGTGCTTTGTGCTTGATGCGAGTGTTGAACATAGCAGAGCAGCAGAGCAAAGCGGTATCCAACGTAGAGCTTGAGCCTGGCAACCTTACAAGTCTCTGGGAAGCCAGGAAGCGATCAGGTGTTTCGTTCGTTCCCCGAACCGAGGTTGTTCATGATCATCGACACCGACCACAGTGGGTGGATAGACCTGGATGCTGCTGGGCTTTCAAAATGCTTGTGCATTGCAACACCACTGTCTGTACAAGACTATCTGGCTGAGAGCAGCCCACCTACTTCCCAGCTGTGCCAAGGAGTTTGTTTCTGGCTGTATGCAGCTACATGGGCCGGCCAAGAGCCTCCAGCTAGCGCAGATGAGCCGCGCGCTTATCGGCAGATGACTTCTTACAATTTCTTAAACATGTGCAGCTATGCTCCTGACGATGCAGCAGGTCCGTCTATGCTCGAGCACTTATATAGACAGCTCAAGTGGAGGTTTCAAGAAGGCTTTGTAGCAAGTTTTCAGGATCTATTTGGATTTGCAGCTCAGGCATGTCCTTGCCCCTGTGTCGTGTGAGTAGCCTTGGACCACATGGTCTCGGTCTCTTAAGATTTGCTGGATCCAGGTCACGAGAACAAGCTGACGCGGCAGGTCATCCGAAGTCTGGCGAAGTCAGTAAGTGCCATACAGAAGCAACTGCGCCTTTGGCAGCATGGAGACATATTGCCCGCTCACCTGTTGTGGTTGGTGGGCAGTTCTCGACACAGGGCATACTGTACTTTGTACATGGTCCGACGCTTTCATATCCAACTTTGTTGCGAGTTCACCTACAAGGACGATGCTCGCCCAAGCTGCCGATGATTCCACAGGCACGAGCTACAATGTCTGAGCCCTGAGTCACAGCTTACCAGCTTCCCTCAATGACCTTGCGCGTGGGCGCCTTATCTTCGCAGAACGCGTCTCTGGAGGTTTTTTGAAATGTAGGGACTGCTTTGATAGAAGCACCAGGTTCTGCATGATTCATGATTCATCATCGTGGCACATGGTCGGGGACTCTGGCTTGAGACTAGAGATGCCTTTGAAGGACTGCTCAAAATCATGGAACATGGGTCATCAGGCTACCTGTTGCGGGAGCCTGCTATCAAACTTTAATTTCCACTGCATAGGTACGGCGTAATTTGTCCCAGCATCCGTGTGCCCACATCCATAGAGCTACTCCTGGAAGCTCAGCAGCCCCACACAACAAACCTTGCAGAAGAATGAGCACGGGAAGTACAGTTCAGAACTGGTTGTCCGCACCTTGCACTTTTGGCACGGATGGCAGCATGCTGACAGCAGTCCCAGGAATATCAAACATTGCTAGCTGCCGAGCCTTGGTGCAAGCTATCTTCCTTTGACAATGACAACGTGGAAGCAACAACGGGGCGGGATCATCCAGGCAGCCACTAGCTCACTAGCCTCAGTGGCCCTCTTGGCTTCTGCCAAGATCCTGAACCCCAAACCCCTTGCGCCCGTACATGGCATCATCCGAATTCGCTTGACGAGTATCTCTGCCGGGGCATACGATCAGCGTTGCCATTTTAGCAACCGCATTTATTTATGTAAGAGAGGTAGAAGGCTAAGCGCCTTGGCATTGTTGCATCTGGGTTCAGCGTTTCTTTGGGAACCAGACAGGGGCCGTGGATTAAACGAGATAGGCCGCAGTCACCTTTGCAATAGGAGCCCAGTACATATTCCAACATGGCGAATGAGATCAGGTGATTTTGTCAAGGTGCAATACAAGACTAAAAATGAGGCGAATGAGATGAGGGGCCGTGGATTAAACATGCCGCATCAGGCCCAGGCAATAAATAAAGCCGACACGCATTTAAAGTCTAGACATGCGACGCCACGCACTGCTTTGAAAACCTCTGGGGTCAGTCATGAAAGCTAGCTGGCAAGGCAGCAAGGCGAAGCCTGAAGCCTGGAGTGTTGTGAAACGGTTTGGTGCTGCAACTTTTGGTTGAGACCAGATTGTTTGTTCGATGAACAACTCTTCATGGCAGCTGCTTTGCCGCTTGTTTGGCCCTTCGGGGCTGAGCAAGCGCTGGCATGGTGCTGCTGCAGCGCTTTGGTGGCTTTTGGTTCAAGTAATCATGCCGCGGCACGCGATTTGCAAAAGGACATCACTGCCCACAGCACTAGCAATGCCACCGATACCAGTTCGTAGGACAGTTTCACAGTGGCAAAAAGCCGCTTTTGTCGCCTACCTTTTCCCAGGTGGCCACTTTGAGGGGGTGCTTAGCTTCTGTATCTTGAGGCAGCAAGTCAAGTGAAGAGTTATCCTCAGCAGTGCCCAGCTGTTGCTGCTGCATACCAGCGGTGACAAAGCTCAAAAGGATGGGGTGGCTGACCATTGCCACCTGGCGAGAGGCTTGCTACATGGATCCTTCAGCCCGAGATTGGAACCCAAGGTTGGGGAACAACTCTCGGGTCCGGGAGTCCGGTCCTTTGACACCAAGTGCGACAATGTCACTTCTGAAAAAAGCTATGCGGGCCGCCAAACGTCAAGATAGCAGTTTCTCACTGAATGCACGTGGCGAGGTGCAGCAGCTCATTCCTAACGAAGACGTGCGAAAGCGAGTTGATCAGGCAGTTTCAATTTCCTGCCCTTGTTAGTTACTCTGCAGTGGTCTGTGATTTCGAGCGGCAGGATCCGCGTGGATTGGTGTCTTGTGATAGGCCTTCCCTGCCACCTACTGGTACCCAGTCACGGCCGACGATGGTCAGACATATTTCTGCAACTGGGAGACAGGCTGGGCTGTTCGTAATTTGCATCACTTCTGAATTTGAGACTATGTGGTGCCACATGGGTACCATAGTGGTACCATCATCAGCCGTCCAGCATGCCCAGCCTGGCGCATTTCTCAATGACTTCGTTTGGAGGTGAGGCAGTTTGGGATGTGCCTCGAGGTGGCAAGGCCAGCAACTGCGTCTGGACTTCCCTAAAAGCAGTCTGAGTCCACGTTTGCGGCAGAACGTGTCGTCACCAAGTGCATGTTGACAGCAAACTTCTGCTTGAAACCTGAAACCGCAGCCTTGGCTCATGGACTCCTTTGTGACATTGTCCGTAGCTACCCTCGCTGGAGTGACATGTGAGATCCAGCTGGATCGGTCCGCAACAGTTGCTGATGTGAGAAAAGCAGCCATGGCTTATCTGGGCCATCGGGCCCGCTCTGGAAAGGCCACTGGATTGTTTCATGTCCCCTAAGTTTACCAGCGTTTGGCTTCTGCTTCTGTAGTGAGGTGCCTTGCTGTTGGTGAAAAGTTCACAGGCTCCTCATGATGTGTGGAGCCATGGACCGAAGGTGATGGTTGGCCAGCAGGAGGTGAAAGATACAGACTTCGTGGCAAACATGGCAAATGATCCGTGGTGCATTGTCTTCACAAACGACCGCTGTGCCCTGCCACCAGCTTGCATTTTGCATGGATGACCCTTCGGATTTTCCTTCATTTGCTTGATTGGCATCCTTGCAGACCCTGGTCTAGCAATGTCTAGCAGTCTAGCAATGTCAGGCTTGCCGCCGCACAAGCGGCCATGGAGTCGGACGAGCTGAAGGACTGCCAGCGCATCTGTCCAGGTCGAACTGCAGAAACTTCAGGTGTCAGTGGATATGTTTCGTCGGGCGATAGCTTCAATAGGAGGCAGCCAGCCATCTTCACGACCTAGCACAGCAGCATGCAGTGCTCACCGACGAGGAATTCAAACTGGTCTGCTTCTTGCCCCAAAGCATAAAGTGTCTGTGTAAAACATAGTCGCCGCCAGTAACAACGCAGCCATTGAGAGCTTTCAGACTTTTTCTACAAAACGCAGAGTAGGCAGCAACAGCGGGGAGCAATGACTCATTGAGGGACTGTGCCTGAAATATTTTCAAAAAAGCAGCTAGGCTAGACTAGCTAGACCCCGCTCAGAGACCAACACTGACTAACACTCCCCAGGAATCTGGAAGATGCCGCGAAAGTCAGATAGCGTAGGGTCATCAAAGGCTCCGCCTTCAAGGCCCGACTTCGAGCCCTCCGTGCAGCATGGCGTGAGGCTCGACTGGACTAGAGACAAATAGTTGATTGCACGCTAGGGGCGGTACAGACAGGCTTTAGCTTTGAAGCGCGAAGCTCCGAAGCCACTACTCGCAGCCTGAGAATTCCAGGCGAAGCTCAAAGCCAGTACTTCACTAGCTTCAGAGCTTCGGCCGAAGCCACTGGCTTCAGACTTCCAGACCAAGCCCTGCAGCCACTGACTTCAGAGCTTCGGACCTTCACGTTAAGTCACTAGCTGCAGGGCTTCACTAGCTTCAGGGCATTGCGCGGAGCCCATAGCTTCAAAATTCAGGGCTAAGCTCCGAAGCCGCTAGCTTCAGAGCTTGAAAGCTTTGGTCGCTTCCAAACGAAATCAGGTCCTGGAGAAGCGCAGTTTTAGTTCTGAATCCGTTTTCAGTTTGTTGGAGGTCTCTGAGGAGCAGTATGCCACCGACAAGGTGGCAGCGTTGGAGGTCTGCTGCCGCGAGGTGGGGCGACTAAACAGCGTTGCTGGGTCTGCTGTGGCTTGGCCTTGGACTGTCCAGGATCAGTAGTCTCTTATTGTTTTTGCCGTGCAGTTTCTTATGGGATGCCATAGGGCCCGCGGGAACATGTGGGAATCATTGTTGAAATGCAGCAACGATGCATCCGCTTCTTGCAAAAATCTCACGCCACACAGCGTCTCGCCAGGCGAATCAGCCGCAAGGAAGTAATTATGACCTTCTAGTGATTGTACCTTGCAGCACGATAACATCAGCTGCTCACTCCTGAGAAGGTGCTGCAATTGCTGGAGGACTTTGACATGTATGTCTGCTATAATGAGGTCGACATGTTGCCGGTGAATAGCGAAGAGCCACTTGGTACTGCAGTCAGATCCCCATCTTCTTGAAGAATAAACAGCTGCCAGATCCTGGCAGGAGAGACTGCTCCCAGCTGCTGGCGCTCGTGAAAGGCTAGTATACAGAACCCTGGCAGGCGCATGAGACTCCCTCGATTCTGTCCCACGAATCCCTTGTTCCACTCCCTCCATTCCTTCCTCTGTCCTTCTGTTTGCCTGCATTCAGGTGACTGCTATCGCTACATGCTAGAGCTTGGAGGAGATCCTGGTACAGTGAAGGAGCGAACATCCTGCATGTTAGTACATGCGCCGCTGTGTGACAGAAACAACATGAAGCAAACGGTTCCTTGATACTGTCGTCACCCCGCTCGCACAGGGATTGTTGCTTCTGCAGCCTTTGTATGTTTCTGCGGCAGCGGCGGTAAAACAACCAAAGGCATTTTTGGAAATTTTACCTGCTAGGAGAGGAAGCAGCTTGCAAGCGAAGCCTACGAAGCCGCTAGAGCAGCGAAGGAGGCCAGACGCAGAGAAAGCTCTTGCTGCGGATCCAGGGTGCCAATTTACGCGTGAGGACATTGTCACATGTGAGGCTTGTTCTAAAGGTCCTTGTCTTCGGTTTATACTTGGGTGACCATTTCAGCTGGTTTACAGGACTCGCGACAGTTTGGCGAAAGAAGACGCGAAAGGATTACACATTTTCGCTAAAGTTGGCCAAATCCCAGAAAGGGAATTTTGAACAACCGCCACATATTGTTTTTATGCCTCGTGAAGCCATGATGTTTGGGTGTGCGATTTGGGTACCCCTAGATAGCCAGAATAAATCTAAGTACCCCCTTCTCATACTCACTCTACCCCTCTATATGCCTCCAGCAAGCCTCGCGCTTGTCTGTACTATGCACGCTATTTACAGCCTCCATGCGACCCACTGTCTTCCCAGAAAGCCCAATATCCCTTAAGTAGGGAATGTACCTAACTCATATTGGGGATCCTATCCATTAAGTAGTATATATATATATAGTAGGGATCCTAGTATCATTTAAGGATATTTAGGGTTGATTCCCTTCTTCAGGGATATTGGTTGGGTACTTCTCCCACTGTATCAGTTGGAGAATGTTTATTTCATCGTCATATATAGCCCTCAAGGGTGGGGGCAGTGCCCAAGATATCGGGCCTAGACCCATCTTAATTAAGAGAGATTAGGCTCTCTGGTTGTTTTGCGACCGATCAGTCCGCCGTGTCCATCGCCGTGACGGGTGCCGGCAGCACGGTAGCCGCGGGCCTGGAGGAGTTTTTCCAGTCAAAGTTGAACAAGTTTCGTGTGTAGGGTATGGGGCTCAGGATTCAGGGAAGCTCATCGCCATTTTTTTGGTTATACCTATGACCCAAGAGGCGCAAACACACAATGTTTACGACTATCCCAACGCAGAAGCACTTTTGCCCAATCCCTGAATCCCGATACCTAAGCCCTAAAGCCCTAAACCCTTATCCCCAAAGCCTAAACCCTAAACCCCAATCCCTAAACCCTTTCCCCCTAACCCTAAACCTTGGATACTGCCCCCCCCCTCAGTAACAGTTGGATAATGTTTATAATATAGTTATATATCTATATATAGCCCTTAATAGGATCCCTAATATAGACTGTTACTGGGTGGGGGCCGTACCCAACCTAAACCCTTCTTTAAGCTTTAGCCACGTACCTCCGGGCCGAGGCCCCGACGGAGCCTGAAGCGGAGGCCGAGCCAACGCATCGGCTGCCCGAGGAGAGCCCCGCCCCCAGCTCCTGGTCCTGGGAGGGTTTCGGGTTTAGGGAGTGGGATTTAGGGTGTAGGGTGTAGGGTTTAGTGATTGGGAGTTAGGGTTTAGGGTTTAGGGATTGGGGTTTCGGTTTAGGGTTTAGGGGTTTAGGTTTTAGGGTTTAGGGTGTAGGGCTTGGGGTTTAGGGTTTAGGGATTGGAGTTGGGGTCAAGGGTTTAGGGTTTAGGAGGAGGTCTACATGGGGGTTTCCCAAAAGTAGGGGTGCCTTTAAATGGTTTTTGTCGGGTTTAGGAATTCCCAAGATTTGGGAACACTTTATTGTGGGTCCCTAAAATCAGGATTATTGGGGTCTATATTGGGGTGCCCCTATTTGCGAATACACAGTACCACCTGAGGTTTCTGGAGGTTGCGCAAAAACGTCCTTTTAAAGAGAAACCTTAGCGAATACTTAACCAAGACGGGGGCGTATCTTAGGGCCCATCTAGGGGACAGGTGTTTCCAGCAACTGTGATATGATAAGCAGATGTTGGTAACCCCCAACCCCTATAACAGCGGCCCCCATAAGAGTTTTGTGACAGTCGGATCCTGCCTTTGGGGCTGTTTGTTTTTGACTCCCCTTCGGGTACAGGAAGGGTGTTTTTTGTTTGATCCAGGTTTAGTTTTCAGTAGCTAAACCCTAGACGCGATGGGCTTGGGATTCAGTCGATGTATTAGACCCGACCAACACTCTCATCTGAAAGCCCTTGTCGCTATGCCAGCGGTTGTTGTGAGAAAGTGGACTTCAGAATCATGCAAGCTGTATATCCGCAGTCTGGGCCAGCTGAAGGGAACCTGGAAGCTCAATGTACAGTAATGTCATGCCTTGAGTTGCTGTTTTCCTGAGCTTTGCAGTGGAACAGAGAGCAAGGTAAAGCTTTCATAAGCATGGTGCATCTCTCCTGCAATGCTTCGGGGCCCGCTGTGGCAAGAGTCTACGGAGTACAGCTGAACTTAGCGTCAGCTTCACTGCAGCTAGATGTAGTGATGAAATGCTGTATTGTCAACTGCCTATAGCTGCGAAGGATGCGCAATTTCTCAGAAATCCCTTACATGAATGAACCCTGTATGGTCCCTGCGTACTCCATGGTAATGCCCTTTGCCTTGAGCAAGGCCGCGATGCAGCTCCGGCGGAGTTGTGGCTTTTGATTAATATGGTAGTTTCCCAAAATAAAGGAACCCCAATATAGACCCCAATATACTATAATCCTTATCTTGGGGACCCCCAAAATGGTACCCCAAATTCTGGGAAACCACCATATCTTGAGTTTAGAG